TCAGAAGAGTCTGACAGGAAAATAACTTGATGCTTCTTGTAGGGCACCAAAGGTGTTCTTGAAGAATATGGAGGAAGCTCAGTCAACATTTTAATTTCAAAGAAAAAGGACTATCTCTTCATAACCTAGATAAGAGGAGGCTCAATATTTAATTTCTAACTTTCTGTCTCAGCTCTCTAATATACCTTGATTGACTGTCATCTTTCAGCACTTGCAGTCTGCCTGGCTCTCAAGGGATAAAACAGTGGGGTCAGATCAAGGATCAGTAATGACTTTTGAAGGTCCATATGGTAATAAAGTTCTTGGTACACACTTAGTCGTTGAAATTACACAGCTAAATCATATGTATCTGCATCTGGATGACTGCCTGATCTAAGGAAGGTCTTGTGAAGAGATAGTAAGGCAAATTTGGTCATATTCTTTCTACACTAGGACACATGGAGATACTGAAGAGCTGTCTTGCTGAACAGAATTTCTGTGAGCTGTAATTAATTTCTCATTGTCAAATGCTTATTTTCTTGAGGACAAGTTCCAAGTCTTTCAGGACTGTATTCCCCTTTGCACATTGCTGGTTGGCTCCTACCATGCTACTTAAGATCAGCTTTTAGCCTGTGCCACAGAGGAAGAAGAGGAGCAGTAGTACATAGCAGACCTTCATCTACAATTTGGCTGGCTCTATGCCTGCACACGTAGGAACAGATTTCTTGCATGAACCTTGCTGAAACAGGGAAAGGCTGATCCACCCCTAACAAGCTGATACACATTCTTCATGTTCTTTCTGGTTTGGATCTCATTCTTCCCTGGTTGCTTGCAGACTAGGTTCAGTGTCTTTGCTGCTAATCCCTCTTTTGAAGGCTGGGAATGTGAAAGATTTTCTTTCAAATTTTCTACATATTTTAAACCTCTGTATCACTTGGAGATCTTTAAAATCAGCAGACAAGATTGAGATTTACTTCCTTGGTATATTAGCTGTGTTTTGATGTAAGTGCTCTGTATCTGTGCCTGAACTTGTTTTGGTAGTGTAGTAGGTTGATGCTGGCTGGACTCCAAGCACCCACTGAAGCCTCTCTGTCACTCCCCTCTGCACCTGCACAGGGGAGAGAAAATAAAACAAAGGGTTCATGAGTTGTGATAAGGACCAGGAAGATCACTCATCAAATACCACTACGGGCAAAAACAGACTCGAATTAGAAATATCAATTGAATTTCTTAGTAAAAAACTCAGAGCATGATAATGAGAAGTAAAAGAACACCTTAATAAAAACCCCTTCTCTCCTTCCCAGCTGTATTTCCTCTCTCCGTCAAGACAGGGAGGCAGTGAATGTGGGTTATGCCCAATTCATCACACATTGTTCCTGCTGGTGCTCAGGGGGAGGAGTCCTTCTGCTGCTGTGGTGTGGGGTCCCTCCCACAAGAGATTCTTCTCCAACATGAGTGTATCCCACAGGCAACAACTCTACAAACTGCTGGAACATGGGTCACTCTTCCTGCACTCTTCCCTCAGGGGGTGCAGTCCTTCAGGCACAGCCTGCTCCAACATGAGTCCCCCATGCAGTCACAAGTCTTGCCAGGAAACCTTTCCCCCGATCTGCAGGTCCCTGCTAGGAGCCTGTTCTAGTATGAGCCTCCTCTGGCATCCACCTGCTCTGGCATGGGTCTCCTCCATGTGGTACAGGTGGATCTCTGCATCCATGTGGTCCTTAATGGACTGTATAGAAAGGTCAGTTTTGGTGTTTGGAGCACCTTCTCCCCTCCCCTTCCTTCTGCACTGACATTGGTGTCTCCAGATTTGTTTCTCTCACATATTCTCTCTCCACTCTTCTCTTGATGCAATTACATCTGCACGATAACTATTTTTTTATTCTTCTTCTGAAATATGTTGTCACAAAGGTGTTACTGTCACTTCCGATTGCCTCCCTGTTGGCCTGTGGCACATCCATCTTGGAGCCACCAGGGACTGGCTGTGCTAGACATGGGGAAAGCTTCTAGCATCTTCCACCCAAACCACTACCAAAACCTGGCCATGCAAACTCAATGCAGTTATGGCAGATGTTAATCATCTGTCCACTGTTATCTCAGTCCTGAGTGATCAAATCTTTTAAAATAGGGAAAGTACATTAATTCTGTGACTGTAGAGAACATGTTGCTTGTTCATGTTTCATGTATCTTGTTTGTTTTGTCATGAACAAGTGCAGAAGTAGTACTTGCAGAAGAGGACTGGCACTGAGAGTATTAAACAAGGAGTAATAACTGATTGTAGGTAATACTCAGAAGCAAATGAGACCATGTTGATTAGCATAAGCAAAATGCATGTGCAATGTCCTAGCAACCTCCTCTGTGTTCTCCATAAAAGTTTTGTGGTTTTTTTTTTTTTTTTTTTTTTAAGGAGGAGACTGAAACAAATTAATATTTCACCTATTTACAAGTTCTTCATTGAAATTCAGGCAAAAACAAGAGGAGAGAGTCAAGGCTTTTGGTTTGAAAGTCTGACAGATGGGCGAGGGAGACTCCTGGCAAGTGAGCCTGTTGATACTGAATAACACAATAAAGAGAACTGAAACAGATGCTGGAAAGAGATACCATTCTTAAAATTAATTTAAAAAAATTTGGATTGCAAGATTGCTATTCCAAGCAGTTATTACAAGGAAATAGAAAAGGAGCCAAGGCTATAACTAAGGAATCAGACTTACGATAAATCCGACTATTTTGTTGTCCTTCTCTGTGGTCTTTTGTCATGGTAATTTTTCTTACTATCCTGCATCTGACAAAAGAACAAGTTCTGGATACAAAAGAACTATGGAAGTACTAATTATTTTGTTAGAACTTAATAAAAATAAAGGTAATTAGATTTAAATAACCTCTTACCAGGCAGGTATGTACAAAGTATGTATCTGTTGTGATATGTGCTACTCTGTCCTGCTATTGACCTCATTCAGACAGAATATGGTCTGTGAACAATAAATTTCTTTGTTCCTCATTGTGGTTATGGAGGGATGCAAAAAAATCCCCAAACCCCCTAAACCCATACTTTCTTGTCTCAAAGTTTTACTTCACCTTTACAACATCACTGTACATCTCTAAATTACATTACTGCATTTAAATTTAAAATTACATTTTGTTATTCTGCCAGTTCTTTAGGCAAAATGGGTACAAGCTAGAAAAAGAAACACTATGTACATTCTAGGAAGCTTTTCACTTTGCAATCAATGAGTGACTTGCTAGCAATTTCTTTTAGCACTTCTTCATCTGCTAGAAAGAAGTAAAAAAGTTAGACTTAATTTAAAGAAGAGGCCTAAAGGAAGGCACCTTCTCTTCCTTGGTTTCTTGTGGTGGTTCTGTTGTGCACTGAAGTATTCTAAAAATGCATGTGTTTTTGCCAAAATGAAGAGAACAGTAACTCTAGGCCTCAGTCTCTTTTCTCTGTGATTAGGAAAAAGGAAAAAAACATTATTTCGTCATGTTAGAAATTTTGCAAAAGAAGCAAGAACCAGGAGTTTAACCATAGGTCTAACTTCTTCACACCTTGAGTTGTCCCACAAAAATCTTTGAAGTAGTATTTTGTGAAATCTGTTATTGAAGTAAAAGCAGTATTTTAACATTTTAAATGTGTGTTACTTATAATGTAGAAGGGTTCAAATAATTTGAATTATTGGAAGGAATGATACTGCCCCCCCCCCCCCGCAAAAAAAAAAAAAAAAAAAGAAAGCTGTGTTAGCTTGAGGCTGACATTTGAGTCTTTTCATTTCATGGACTGCTGAAAATGGTCCTGAAGATTATTTTCTGTAATTTTTGCAGCATATTTGCCTTTTATAGGTTTTGTTATGATCCATGATTGATTGATTATGGAGTTTATGGGGTTTTTGTTTGTTTGTTTGTTTGTTTTTTGGGGTTTTTTTTGTAATTGATATATCCATAGAAAAAGAAATCAACATCCTCATGTTTTCTAAGAACCTCTGTCTGTAGTGTCTGTAATGACATTAAAAACAAAGTAGCCATGTAGTGATGGTGTGTAACTGGCGTGGTGATTTTTGATGTGAAGTCTTTGGAATAATACCAATACAAATATTTCTTTCTTTGTGGTGCTTTACAAAGTGGCTTAAAAATATTTCAGGGGCTTTTGGTTCCATTAGTTATGGAAGCTTAGTGCCCTCATTTTCTGTTGCTTTATGTTGCATTGCTGCTGTGACTTGCGTGGTCACTTTGCTCTAAGATAAAGAGGATAATGAGGTGCTGCTAAAGCAGAGTGGATACTTGTGGACTCTGGTGTACACTTGGTGGTGTAACAGTACAACTTTCCAACTACAGAGGAATATGTCTTGTATCTCAGCATTCTTGAGTTCTGCTCAAGGTGTTTTTCAAGTTCTTGGCTGTGGACTGAAACAGGGCAGAGAAAAGTTGTTTAATAATGATGGGGGAGGGAGCCTATGGGGGTCTATATGCTCTGGAATTGGGCACGTTATTACTGATCAAAAATAAATTTTTTCAATAGTGATTTAAAAAAAACCTGTGCATAGAGCTTCTACTCCTAATACATTTACATGAAGGGTATATCCAGCCTATGTGTGTATCTGGATTTACAAAAAAAAGTCCTCTAAGCAGTTCAAGAAAATGATGCTATTACTGGCTTGCTGAGAGAGGATTAATTAGGAAATGTCTTCCCTTATCTGGATTTCTAGAAGTTACAGTGGTTCACTTCCTCTTGGCAGAGCATAATACAGAATGACACTAGGCACTATATTAAATAATTATGTTATTACGTATTTCTTCTCTGGGACTTGGTGCTTTGGTTAAATTTGAAGTTATTTGCTAGAGAACTGTTCAGTTGTCAGATGAATGAATCAGCCTGAAATAACCTGTAATAGGGTATGGTATGTTTGAATAACGAAAAGCCAGGGAAAATCTTGCAATTTGGGGGATCTCCAGGAAAATCTTTTTTTTTTGCATAAATACTAGCTTTACTCTGCATACGTTTTATTCCCAACCCCCCCTCTTTTCTCCAGTACTGATACTCGAAAAGGTGGAAAATGGAGATCTGAGCAACAAGATGTTGAAGATCACGGATTTCGGCTTGGCCAGGGAGTGGCATAAAACTACCAAAATGAGCGCAGCTGGGACATATGCCTGGATGGCTCCTGAGGTCATCCGCTCTTCCATGTTCTCCAAAGGCAGCGATGTTTGGAGGTATTGATTTGGCATTAAGTGACTGGATACTAAAGGGTAACTAGACCTGCCAGGAAGTCTCTTTTATGTGTAAGAATGAGTAATGGTGAACCAAATATTAAAACTCAGGTCTTGAGAAAACTTTATCCACCAGCTTTCCATCTGTCCGACTTATCTCAGACTTATTGTTACTGTAGAAAATAAGTGGTGGACCAGCTACTGCATGTCTCTAAATTTTTGTTGTTCTATAAGTTTTCATTCAGATTATTTTGAGATCCATAATCCAAATCCCCTCTACTTTATCTTAACCAGACATTTTGGGCTTATTTGGCTATTGACTGACATAATCAAAGGCCATAATACAATCTGAGAAGTACTTTATTTTTATACTGTTTTACATACAAGATAATTTTGAAATATTTTGTTTTGGTAGTAATCTGTCACTAATGTATGTGTGCACACACACACACTGTACTTAATTGAATTCCCTATCCTGTTTCAATCCCAATACTATGTTTTTTGTTTTCATAATAATTTTATTTATAAATAAATAAATAATATAAATAATTTAAATAAATAAATATAAATAATTGAATTATTTTTACACTTCTAGTATTTCACATAGGATATTAGATTTTTTATCTGGGTCCATCTGAGTATGTAATCCATAAATAGTAACTTGTATGTATATATATTTTCTTGTTCATTCATGCACTGGAGTTTTTGTGGATGAGCTAATTTGGTGGGGAGGAGTGTAACGGTTGGCCCATATACTTCCAGACACTGAGTTTGAATGCCACTGTTAAGTGGATTGGTAAATACAGAATTCAGTAAATAGCTCTAGGACAGTGACTTTTCTGGATGCTGGATGACTTGGAATTAGTACTGAACATCTGAAACAGATAGAGAGAATTTTGTTTTTCTTGTGGAGAAAAAGGTATTGAAATGTCAGGATCTTTGTCTTCATAGCAGTACGATTTTGTTGCTGGTCACTAATGCTCCTCCACAAGCGAGTGCGTGCTGTAAAATCCACCAGGATAAAGAAATAGCCCATCTGGTAGACATGTCTGGCTTTTATGGCAGCTATTTGGTGTGGAGATTTTCATTTTCCTTGTCCAGTTTTGCTGACTAGATAATGTATTGCCTTGTGATAAGTCTCTGAACTTGTATTTTGCACTCTAATGATGTGGATAAAATTATGACTCTGTAATTAAATGTGGTAACCTCCTAATCTGAGCCTAGCTAATCTGAGATAGATTGAGCGAGAACCAGACTTTTATTTGTAGTGAAGTCTGGCAGAAATGAAAATTTTAAGGCTGTGCACCTTTTCTGTGCCTGTGATGATGGTACTGGTTTGTACACAGCTTGTCAACCTCAAACATAAACTTGCTGTTCTCTGAAACAGTGCCAGGAAGGGCCTTTAAGGGTAGCCTAAGGGAAAGGAGGAACAGTTTTCCTGTAGTTGTAACTTTAGTAATCCAGGCATGCTATGAACAGATCAGTAGATTTTCTGTGCCAGTATGAATTAATTTTAAAAAAGTTAAGAATTATCCAGATGGTTGGTGATTCTCATGAAGTGCCTCTATGCCCATGCAAAAGTACCAGTTTGATCATTGATTTAAGGAGTGTGAATCACTTCGGGATTTAAGGACTGTAAATAACTGAAATTATTTGTTCATTTTTCGGAATACTTTACTTCTACTTTTAAGATTCCTTCATCACTTTCTCTTGTTATAGTTACCAGTCTTCCCTTGAGTTCCTCACAATACTCTTCCTTAAATAGACAGTCATCACCATTAAGGGAATTTATATACTGTCTCTGAATAAGCTTTTTCCTTCTGGTGGCTAAAACCTCTATTCGTAGTTAAACAAGCTGAAAAGAACATGCAGAGGACAAACGCTTGCCAGTGCGATCACTACTAGTCTGCCGATGATTGTGAGCCCTAGATTTTACAAAAGAGGTCATGGACTTGTGTAATAACTCCTGTCCCCACCCAAGGATGCAACCTGAAATTCTTAACAGGATGAACTTTTTTATCCTATTAGACTTGCTCCTCCTCTTGTCCAGTTCAACCACTTGGTTAGTCACTGGAGTCATAGGGTTTTTTTTGCCCGACAGCCTTCCAGTTAGTCTATGCAGCATCAACAGAATTGTCTCTAATGTTCGTGAACCCTTTTATTTCAACACCTTTTCTTTAAAGCTAATTAGAGTAATACTGCTGGCTGAACCGTCGCCCAGCCTTTGAACAAGAATCTTGTTCTCCTTGCGTTCTTGCTGCACAAACAGCTGAAGAAGATGTATGCTAGGACTGAAATTTCCTGAGTCAGCCGTATCATAACTGACTGCTTCATCTTTCCAAAACATGTTTCAAGCTCCATTAGAAAAGCTACATCTGCTTACTCTGGAGTAGGGTTGGCAAAGAACTTAAAAAGAGTGAGGAATCGCCACACATGGTATTTATCACCAGGGTCTGGGCCAACGTGAAGTTTGTTCATAGTACCAGTACTTAGTAAATGTTGCTAGTGAAAACTTGTTGCTGTGAATTTTGCTGTGCTGTACCCACAAGCTCTAGATATGTAGTAGAAGCCTTGTGCTTATATCGTACAGAGGACAGTGAAACTACAGTTCTATTTAAGTAAGTCCCTTCCTGTGAGTCTGTTATGTGTTTGTATTTGCTTTGGATTTACAAGGGTAAAGTTGAAGCTTGGATATTGCAGCTCATGCAGTACTGTATGCTAATGTTAGTAGGCGTATAAATAACATTTTTCTGTCATTTGGCTGTTTAAATATATTTCTTGTTTGCTGTACACTTAGTTTTTTACTTGTACTATTTAAACCAGTCATATTATAAGTACTTACGGTATGTGGAATATAAAGGCACCATACAACCATCATCTGGGTGCTCTATCTTCCTCAGTTTAGATGTTTTTAAGCTGTATCTACTCTGAGACCAGTGAAATAATTGGGAATTTAATTTCTGTTTAGGAATGGAATACCAGCTCTAGCTAAAACCATCAGATTAGACGATCAGGAAGTTTCAGGCATTCAGTGCTGGGTGTACAGACTTCAGTCATTGGAATATTTTGTTTTAATCAAGTGTTGGTCAAGCACCTCTATCCACAACCAACCACTTGTCTGCTTCTGTAGTTTTTTGTGTGTCATGAAGCACGGTCAAGACTTCAATACTTGGCAGATAAATGCTGACTAGCAATATTAGGAGAAACTCACTTGGGAGAAGCACATGGTAGTGATTGTTGTGAAATGGGCAGGAAAGGTCGTCTCTGGAACTGTCAGTTCATTAACATGCAAAATACCAGCTGTTAATAGCCATAAAAATGTAATGAAGTTTGGGAGTTTTTTTCCTTAATGAAAGTCATGTTCTAGTTGCTGTTGGAACTGGGATCTTTTTGTTGAGCTGATAATTCCTTCCTCATGGAAAGTGTTGAACCTGGGGAGATGGATAAGAGAAGCCTGTGGTACATATGCCATGGAACAGTACCAGTGAGAAAAAATTACTTGTTTTTTAAAAGTTCACAGACTAACAAGGGAGGTGGCAAAATCACATGTGAAATCCTGCAGACCTCCAGCCTCCCTTGCCCTGAAAATCCAGTGAGTAGGATTGAACCTGATGTTAAATGGTTTAAGGGATTAGTGGATCACTGAAAGATGGTTAATTATTCACACAAGTGTCTGTTGACTTGGATGCATGGGTTGTGTCACACGGTTCGTTTCATAATTAAAGTCCAAAAATTACTACTAGGGGCTGGAAAAATAAATGAGCTTGATCACTTTTTCTTTCTCCCACTGAGAATATATAGAGGCCCTTGTTTCTTTATTTCTATGCCTTTTTTGTGTAAGTCTTCTGATCTGGCCTTTTCCTTTGTACTTCCCAATCTTCTGCTTGAGAGTTAATAGGAAAACACTGTGTTCAGCACCTCTCTTGGTGTTTATTCACTTGGGATTATTGTTCAAGTGCCACAAAGCAGTATTCTCCAGTTCTGTGGAAGCAGTATTCTCAGCAATGAGCTGTAAGTATAGTGGCATTGAGTTTTTCTCAGAAGCAAAGTGACCTTTCCTGAAATATACACTTCTAGTGTCACATTAGAAGAAACACCAATCTGTCTATTCCTTTTTCCTTTAAGAAGAAGTGCTCTGAACACATCAATAGTGCTTTATCCAATACTAGTGTTACAGTAATAATTCAGCTCTTTGGTAGATTTTATTACCTTTTACTATCAACAGTGATATCCAAACTGAAAAGTAACATGAATGATCAATCAGATTTAGACAGTCCAAATATACATTTAGTTCAGTTTCCATTTTCTTTGAGTCTTTTATAAATCCTAGAAGGCCAAGAAGAAATTGGGAACTACTTAGACTGTAGTTTAATTTCTTCAAATAATGCTCTTGAGACAGTAAGAAATGATAAATTATAATTTCAAGAGTGTGAATTAGATAAGAAAAAAGCAAAAGATTGTGTAGGTCAAAAATATTATATTCTGCTTAATAAAGTAAAATAGTTGTGTTAGCAGCAAAGGTTGGATCTTTAGTTACTAAAATCCTTTATTTAAGTAGGATAAGTACTGTTAAAGGTGTCCCACTAAGGTAGCAGCAGTTACAGTGAATGTTAAAGATGTGATGGGGTGAAAGGGAGATCTCAAGGGTACAGTTTGCGATAATGTACTCCCAAATGGACAGGGAAACTTGCTTTGAAACAAGAAAAGCTTACTATTTTAGCTTTATATTATATTTATATTTTAACTCTTTCATGGAGTAGCTATTTAAGGAACTTGTTGGAAGAGAAGCAGTTTTTCATTTGGTCTTCAGTTGTACTTAGGAGGCCTTCAAGGTGGTACAATATAACATGGTCCAAATATATGTATATTAAGATTTTATATCTTTGCAAGCACAATTAAGAAAAATTAGTCCATTACAGTAGTGTTTAATCTCAACATTATTGACAACATTGGGAACTGTGTGTAAAAACAACAAAAGCACAACACACAACATGGATATCTTTTCAGGACATTGTTAAAGCTCTGACTGAATGTATGGGAAATCCTTTAAAAGAAGGAAGAAGGCAGTGTAGAAAAGACTGCTAAAGACATATTTTTAAAAGCTCAGTCGGTATCCAAATGAGGAAGATGATGCATTGACTAGAGCTCTTTCAAATTTAACATAAAACAAAGAAGATAAAAGGGTTTTGAAGAGAGTCTTCTTACAGCATAAAACCGAATCCCTTGCTTTCAAATGCAGCACAGGTGAGAACCCTGCAGGAGAACATAACAGCCCAGAGGTGGGTAAAATGTGGGAGTGCAAAGAAAATAAGGCTATACTAGAAAAAATCCTCAGTGACTTGTGTCTGCCAGAATAGAGCAAAGAGGCATTTTAAGCTGAAAATTTCTCTTTAAGGGAGTCCAGCCTGGAGAACATATCATACTGAAGTAAAATTCAAAGAGGTTAAAACTGACTGATTAAATGAGCAGTGACAATTCCTGAGATTTACAGTAACACCCAAGATTTCTACAAGAACATGAGAGTCAGCTGAGTTAGTAGCTCTGCTGTGCAATCTGTTGCTTAAAGCTGGTGTAGTACCAGAGAAATGGAAGGCAGCAGACATGGTGGCAGGTCTTAAAAGAGCTTCCTAAGGATTGGCAAGTATTATCTTGAGTTCTTCTCAATGGTAGAAACAGCACTAAAGAGCAGGGTGCTGTTGGACATGTGAGCATATCTGGGGAACAGTCAGCTTTTTAGAAGAAAATGTAATGCTTTGTGAAAAGTGAAAATGCTTGAAGGAGATACTGAATTTGTGGATAAGTGGTGAGGTTGCTTATACTGTATTTAGATTTATAAAGACTTTAAGCAAAATCCTTCATCATAAGCATTTAAATAAAGTAAATTTATGTGGGAAAAGGGCAAGTATTTTTCCCATAATTTAATCAGTTATTAATTAATAACAGAATAAATCAGTTTCCTTAGAGGGAAATTCTGTGTTCAACACAATCATAAGTGATTTGAAAAAACAATACATGTTTAGGTAGCATGGTTGATGATACCAAGTTATTCAGGATAAGAAAAATTAATGTACTGCAGAGAGATGATGAGAAGTTTTACTATCATGAATGATAAAATAGATGGTAATGGTAATAAATTCAAAGTAGAACCCATGGGAGAACTTCATATGTACAATTTATGGACTCTAAGTTTTATTGTTGTGATTCAGTAAAAACACATTGGAGCTACTATGGATAATTTAGCTTATTTTGTAAAGAGTGAGAAAGGCAACTGGCAAATGAAAATTTAGTAGGAAAGAAAGAAAACAAGCAATACCATTTGTGCCTCTAACCATATCTTTAAAACTTTGTGATTTTGCTCATTCCAACAGAAGATGTCAAAGTCAATGAAAGATATGAAATGGCTTCTGTTCAGGATAGTAACTAGACTAGGATTTAGCTAGATTAGGATTTGGGGGTCTGGAAAAATGATGATTTAGGCAGGATGTATGGAAGCCTGTGAAATCATGGACAGCATTGAAGGAGCTAATAGGGAACATATGTTTACTCTTTCTTGTATTGAAAGAATTACAAAGAAGCCAATGAAATTACCAAGTGACAAGCTCAAAACACATACACAGAAGTATTCTTTGGCAATGCATCATTAAATCTGTGGAGTTCACTACCACAGAATATAATGGATGGTAAATGGGTTCAGAAGAGAGTAAGAGATCAACGGAAGAAAAAACTGTCAGGTCACCAAGGATGAAGAAGCAGTTTCTGTTTCAAGTTTCCTGGAAGCAGAAAAAAATATTCTGAGGTTATGTTTGTTGTCATATACTTTGGGGGAGAACAGTCCTGGAACTATTTCCATAACTTCATAGGTAGTATTTTGTAGAATATCTTAAGATAACAACTTAATTCTGAAGAAGTATTTTTCACTTATTTTTAGAAATCACAAGCCACCAAACAATCTTCGTCATATTGTTGGGTGTTTTGAGAGGTTCTGTTTTGACACTAAATTAGAAGATTTATGGTTTTCAGATTGTTCCCAGTTTCAGAGAGAATATTATTTTTCCTAAAAAGTGAAAATGTAATCTTATTTCAGACTTACTTAAAAAAGCAGGTAGAATAGGGCAGATCACCAGCTTGGCATTCATTATAAGCTTGTCCTGCAAACTGCAATTTCTTTAGTATACTAAACTCTCAGGTTCAGGTACCTTGTTGCTTAACAAAGGCTGTGTTAAAGTCAAACACCTCTTCTCTTTTTTGTTTCCTTCCCAATAGTTATGGTGTGCTGCTTTGGGAACTGCTGACAGGAGAAGTACCATTCAGAGGAATTGATGGTCTTGCAGTAGCATATGGTGTTGCTATGAATAAGCTTGCCCTTCCAATCCCTTCCACGTGTCCTGAGCCTTTTGCCAAACTCATGGAAGGTAAGCCAGCTGTGGTGTGTGTGGTTTGTGCTGTTGATAGAGTGCTGTTGAGCATGGCCTCTTTGTGTTGGTTTTCTTACCTCAGAGCACAGATTTCTCCAGTGGCTTTATCCAATGGTGCAGGTTATTGTGGGAGCCAGGCCTGGCTGTAAGTGTGCTGTGACAGTCAGTCTACTACCAGAATAATGAAAGATTTTTTATTAACTGGCTTTGTAGGAAAAGGGGGGCTATTGCTGTTCTCTCTTAGCTTGTTTTCTAGTAGTGAGGACTGACCAACACCAAAATTTCACATATTTAGGTCTTGTTTGAAGTCTAATTTGTTTTAAAATTCATAGCTCAAACATCTTGCTAATAGTGTCAGATTGGTTTGAAATGAAAATTTATCCTACTGACATTTCAGGGAGAGGTTTTAAATGTGGCTTTGATATTCCAAAACAACCCATATTTTCAGTCAGAATGATGTGATTTTCTGCTTTGTCTGTGGAGGTAGTTCGTGCCTAAGGTGGGCTACAGAGAGGTGAAAGAAATACAGAAATTAGTCACCAGAGCTGCTCTAGTTATTAAAAAGGGTTGTGTGAGGTCATTTTCAGGTGTTCTTTGTGACCTGGTCTGCTGGCCGTTGAAACGACTTTCATGTCTCTTGAGCTTCAGTTGTTCCTCCCTTCATTTCTCCCTCCCTTTCTCCTGCCCTCTCTTTCTTACCTTCAGTATTTTTGTCAGTGTCCCTATTCCCAAAGATTTGTGGGTGTTTATATGCAATAAACATTTTTATGCCTATCTGTCAGAAAGGAAAACAGATAAAGAGAAATCAAACTTGGTTTATATAGTCTTGGTGACCAAAGAATGAGTCTCAACATAGAATTGTTACTCTGTGGCCTCTGGTGGTGCTTCTAGCCTCAGGAAAGGAATATGAATCATAAAGAAAATGTTTCTGATGGATTCTTTTTTCCCTGCTTTTGGAATACTTTTTCATTTCTCTGGTGTTTTCATTGGGTTACAGGCTACAGTTAATTTAAAGTGAAAAATTTCATGTATGTTCTGCTACAAAAGAAATATCCTACTGGACAGTAAACAATAGAGTTGCAGGTAGAGTAGCATAGAGGCAGTGTAAAGTGAAAAACTGCATGTGAAAGAGTGGGTGAAACTACCAGCTCAGTGTTGTGCCAGGTAGTTTATTTTGACATGCTTTCCCGAATTTCTTAACTATAAGTGAGGATTTAAAAATCATGCCCTCTATTGGGAAAGTTAGGTAGAGGCATTTGGCCAGTGCCTGAACCCAGCAGCCCAGGGGTGAGCACCCACGTGGCTTCGGAACGCTTGGCTTCTCCGTGTGCAGGGGGAAGATGGGAACAAAAGAACCCAATTACTTTCTGCCCTTTCACCAAAGCTGTGTTTCAAACAGGCTGTTTCCCGTCTCGGGTGAACTCTTCTTCCTCTAGCGCTGCTTTCACTTTTGAATTACTGCCGTGGTGGTCTTCACTGAGACAACAAAGCTGAACTTTTGCTCTTCACAGAAAAGTTATATGTTACAACTGTCCTCATTAGTGCAAATAATGGCTGATCTAGGCCTGGGAAAATAAAATCCACGGGCCACCTGCTAGTTATCCTGTTCACTCATTCATGCATTTGGCTGGCTGCAGCATTTTGTTTTACTTTTGGTCATTTTTGCTTTGCCATGCTTAAAACCTGAGGTAAAGACACAGGGATTATGGTACTGACAGTCCAGCTGTAACACCCATTGCAACTAATTGGCCAGCAGCAGGGGATCATCAGAGCCCTCTTAAACATCCTCAGTTCTCTATTTTAAAAAAGAAGCAAAATAAAAGCCACAAATACAAATGTATTTATGTATACAAGTTTTGTGAAGTGATTTTTATTTTTAATTACAGCTGCCCCTTGGTGTACTTCAGTGCGCAAAACTGATGAATGGACTTCTTTTAGGACATCACCTAATATTTTTAACAATATTCCCTTTTTTCTCACTTCAAAGTCTAGAAAACTTTTAGAACATTTTTTTATGATTCATGTCTTGTGCTGCCAGTGACCATGTGGAGCAATGCTGTATGATGAGAGAGACCCATGTGTTAGTTACTTCCATTCATTCAGAAAAGCTGTATTCCTTACAAATACATGTGGGTGTGAAGTTTTGTGTTTGGTTGCTCTGGAATTTTGGCATGCAGGCATCTAGCAGTACTAAAGAGAATAAGGACAACTGCTGAACAAGAACCTGTGTAAGTGCTGGTACAGGACAACATAGAATGAGAATGTGATTTTTTTTTTTTCTGCTGGAGTAGAAATGAGGGAGAAGGAAGAGAGAGGACTGAATAAGTGCAAATTCTATATTCAAAAGTGTTGTTAAATCAAATGTTTTGATGTCACGGTTTGGGGAATTGTTTGCAATGGATTGGGGGTTACTTCATACTATTTTCTGTTTCTGTTTTCTGTGTTCAATTCCCATCACTGTAAAACATTGCCTTTTGTAGTGTTGCTCACTGAGCTGCTTTATGTGGTAAGATGGTTCTGTTTTTAGAGCTCTGTAATTGGATAATGAATAATTGCATTGGATTGTAAACGAAAAAGACTTGTTTACATATGTGGTTTCTCCTAAAAGCAAAAGAAAAATGACTGATTAATTTTCTCTCAAATAATAAAAAAGGACCTGTAAAAATAGGAGAACTCCAAATGCACCATTTGATGTCATTATTTATTTGAATCTCCTATTTCCACACAAGTTATGTCCAGTCTGCTTTGCAGGAAAGGTTTTCCATTCTGAGAAAAGATTCATAATGACTCAGCTCAGTATTAGATTTTGGCATCAGAAAACACCCTGATAGATATCCTCCTGCAGTATGACTGTTAACTCTGCAGTGTAACTATTATAAAAGAAGTATTTGCAAGAGCCTTGCATAGTATTTCTATATATATGCATCTTAAAGCAAAATATTAAAGGAAATTATTTGTTATTTTTTAAAAATGCTTTGAGGTGTATCCTTCTGTAAAATTAACAAATCCATGTTTTACTTTACATATTATTGCAATAGAACCTAGAGACCTAGGTAGTTAGGTAGTTCAAGATTTTAAGTGTTGTTGGATATTGAACAAGCATGAAAGCATGAATCCTGTACTTGACAATAGTCGGTGAAAGTGGGCAGTGGGAAAGCTGGGGTAACACAGGTAGTGTGTATGCCACTCTTAGCCACTGGGGATCAGTAAAGTACTACCTGTCCTCTCAGACCTTCATACTTAGAGATGCTTGACAGTTGTTTGTCTTTATTCTGTTCTAGATTGCTGGAACCCTGACCCACACTCACGACCTTCCTTTGCCACTATCCTAGACCATCTTACTGCCATAGAAGAGTCTGGTTTTTTTGAAATGCCCAAAGATTCCTTCCACTCCCTGCAGGAAGACTGGAAACAAGAGATCCAAGAGATGTTTGATCAGCTTAGAGCCAAAGAAAAGGTAAGTAGAGAGTAATGGTCCCTGCTTGTGCTCTCTGGATTGTAATTTCCCCATTTCTTAGTTCAAATGGGGATCACTGTTTCGTGCATCCCAGAGCTAATGTTGTCTTTGTTTTGCTGGAGTTTATATTAAGTCCCCGAATCAGTGGCAGGTTATGATGCACACAAGGGTAGAATCATGAGAAAAATAAATATCCACATCCTCAGCTGCTACTCTTTCTAATATTGTAGTGAGCTTCCATTATACTCTGTGCAAATTGCTGTGATGAGTTGATTGTTTATTGCATTTGATAACTGTTTCACTATTAGCATCTTAATTGAGAAACCCACTGAAAACTATTAACAGGAGATGTAGGAGGGTAGTTTCAGCATATATATACTCTAGTTAACATTGCAGCTTTGTTTCTGCTGGGTTTGTGTTTTCAAGGTTTTGAGCACAACCAAAATGCATGGACTAATAAACATGAGTGCTACCAGGGGAAGGGTCCAGTAACTGCTATAACTGAAGTCCATCTGGGCAAATAGCAGGAAACAAAAATGTTAGCAGGAATAACAGGATTGATGACCATCAGCCTTGAAGAGGAGATGTGAAAAAGCTGACAATTTCTTCAAGCATGATTGCAGAGAGCAGCTTGCTGCATCCAATTTAAGGTCCTTACAGAGACTGTCTTTAGTTATTGGTAAGAAAAACTGCAGCAGAACCAAAATCACTAGTGTAATAATATATTTGTAAGTTCACAGTCTCTTGCCTGAAAGTAAACTCATAATAAGCAGCTGTCTTGATTTGGGCTCAGAGGTTGGGTTTGAGAGGCAGAGAGAGAAGGAAAAAAAGACTTTGGGTTAGAGGAAAGAAGTCTAACTTCTACAAGAATACTTAAAATGTTTCTATTAATCTATTTTAGTAACTTTTGGGAAAAATAAATTACCTGATAGGCATTTCCTTGCTACTGTTGTCCCACAGTGTATCTGTGTTGGAAGAGTTTTTAAAAACCAGAAACTTCAACAGACAAACAGCTAAACAGTACTAACTGCACTGCCCTCAGGCTGGGTACTGTATTCCTCTTTAGCAATGGGGAAATAATTTTATATGCCATTCACTTACTGAACTTATTGAAATGTCCCTGTGATGAGCCAGGTAACAATGCCATTATTAAAAATATCTAAACTAAAATGTATTTGATTATCTATCTGATGTTTGAAGGAGTTTTTGCCTTCTGCAGTAGAATTGACCATCTGGAGAGAATTATTTGAAGTGCTGAATTCTTTGTCCTTGTGGTGGGAGGAGAGGAGCACAGTGGGATTTTGGGATTTCAAGGACAGTTTCAATTAATTCGTTTTGTCAGCAGGGATAGATCGAAAGGTTTGCCTTATGTGCCGTTGCCAGGACCATGTTGAGATGGCTTTTGAATATCCCCATAGAGGGAGACTCCACAGCCTCTCTGGGTAACCTGTGCTGGTGCTCAGTAATGCAGTAAAAAAGAGTTCAGTGAGTGTCCCCTGTGTTTCAGTGTGTGCCTGTTGCCTCTTGTTCTGCCACTGGGCACTGCTGAAGAGAGCCTGGCTTTATCTTTTTTCCACCCTTCCTTTGGGTTTTTGTATACACTGGTAAGATACCCCTTCACCCCACCCAAGCCTTCTCTGGGCTAGGATGAACAGTCCCATCTCTCTGAGCCCTTTCTCGTAGGAGAGATGCTCCAGTCTCTTAATCACCTTCATGGCCTTTCATTGGACTCTCTCCTGTATGTCCATATGTGCCTTGTATTGGAGAGCCTAGAATTTGACACAGGATTTCAGGTGTGGCCTCACAAGTGGTTATGTCTGAATTTTAATTCTGGTACGAGGGGCCTTGAATGGCAAGCGTTGAAGTCCTTGAGGATTGTTTTTGGCTCTCAGCTGAGCCTTTAACCAGTGGTGTTTGTGGTTCTGTGAGTGCGAGCCATTGTAGCTGTGCCTTAAGAACCAGTAATGTTAGTCTTAACCCGCAGGTCACAAGGCAGCCTTTTGTTTCTACATTCTTATCTCCCTGCAGGAGCTGCGCACATGGGAAGAAGAGCTGTCTCGTGCTGCTGTTGAACAGAAGAACCATGAGGAGCTGCTACGAAGGCGGGAGCAGGAGCTGGCAGAGCGTGAGATTGACATCCTGGAAAGGGAGCTCAACATCATCATCCACCAGCTGTGTCAGGAGAAGCCTCGGGTCAAGAAACGCATGGGGAAGTTCAAGAGGAGCCGGCTCAAGTTAAAGGATGGCAATCATATCAGCTTGCCTTCAGGTTGGTGGTGTGTTAGGCTGTGCCAGGTGACATGGGAGTAGCTTGTAGGTTTGATACTACTGACCCTTATGCACTGGAAAGGATTTGATGTACTTCAGGAAAAACGTGCCTCCTTGGGATCAATAAACTAAATTTAATGCTCTTGTGGCTAGTATTGCCCAAAGTTCCAATATGAAGGCCAGAATTTAGTTTGAAATGCAACATGTTGGTTAGCTGTTGCTTGTATATAGCTTATTGTAAAATTGTGGCATTGCAGTTTAGCATGTTAATACTCAAAAGAATCAGTTTTTTAAAGGATGTACATAGAAGATGATGCTCAGGAAATATTTTACATAATGCTGCATGAGAAACTATAATCTACTGGATTTTTTTTAGTGTAAAAAATTACCAAAAATACATTGATAGCTGTGACACTAAATCCCTAGATTACTAGTTCATATGTGAACTCCTGTTGACACTGAAGCGACTTCTGGAAGAAATGTTAAATATTAGTAAGATGTTGGCAAAGTCACTTTTAAGAGTGAAGATGCTGATATTCAGAAATACTGAATCCTTAGCATTTCTACTGCAGATTCTTTATGGAGATTTAAATTTGTCAAAAAACCAGATGTCTGGGGTTTGTAAATCACCTAGTGCTCATTATTACATCAGGGATGATGACTTGCACTGTATTCTTTGTTTTCTGGGAGACATTGGCTGTTCAGAAGAGAAATTACGATAAAATGTGTATGTTACCTATGCCTTTCTTTAGGTCTGCAAACACCTATTTTTGGTGGTGCTTAAGAAAGTGAGAGGTAAGGTGCTAGGATTTATGCAGGGGTATAATTTGGCATGTCACTCAGCACAACGTCTGTGTGTGTATGTGTTTCACACATATACTAAGAAGATACATTTTCAGGGCTGTGAGTGCACATCTTTGTGCTGAATTCTTATTGTGTACAATGAGGAAATAGCAATTAGCTGTAAAACTTCATTTCTACCTAGATCCCATAAGTTGCACTCTTTGAGGGTTAACATAAATTATTATTTCTTTTTTTCTTATATTAAAAAAAAGAGAATTTTAACTGTGTCTTTCTGCCTTTTTTTTTTTCTTTTGCTGAACAGATTTTCAGCATAAATTCACTGTGCAGGCTTCTCCAACGATGGACAAAAGGAAAAGCTTGATCAGTAGCTGCTCCAGCCCTCCTGCAAGTCCTACCATTATTCCCAGACTCAGGGCCATACAGTGTAAGGAGCTCAATATAGTATTGAATTTGGGAAATGTACAGTCTGTCAGCGTGGTAAGATGCCAAGATTGCTTATCTAGGACAGGACTGTTAAAGAAAGCACCTAAAATGTTTGCCTTGTGCCTTGCATGGATACATTTGGAGAGAAAAATGGAGTGTCCTAGTGATGGAGGAAGTACCACCTGATTTGAAGCTAAAACCGTGCTTACTCAAGTTTGTGAAATACTGCTGTTTCTATAGAAAATATATTCCATAGGTGTACAAGTTAATTTTAAATAATACTAATTTTCAGAGTAGATCTGTAAAACATTGCTGTAGTGTATTAAGTTACTGTTTTAAGGAAATAAAAACAAGGGCACTTTTCATGCAAATAATGTTCCCATAATAACACAGAATTAGGCAGACATACATGACTTAGAATTATGAAAGTCATGTTAACTAATGTAGAGTGTTTGTACTTGGAGATCACAGCACTTGTTCTAAAGAGAAACTGGTGGTGGAATAAAGCTGGTGAGGCTACCTATACTTGAAAGGATTAGGGAATGCTTAATTCGGCATTTGGTTGTTAGATTTTTGTTGATAAATGGTCAGAATTATGGGAAAATCACTTTTGTTACTATTCCTGTTCTGGCCTATGTTTTATTCTTTATGTTGCCGTGGAACCGATTCTTTTAATCTGTGTATCTGTTTTTCCTTCCCATTTTCTGCTGTTCTTTCCATTTGTGAAGTGACACCTGCTGAAAGCAGTAAAACGTGGGGACGAAGCTCAGTCCTTCCAAAGGAGGAAGGAGAAGAAGATGAGAAGAGAGGCCAGAAGAAAAAGGGACGCACCTGGGGACCAAGCTCGCTTTGTCACAAGGAGCTAGGTGCAGGAGAAGAGGGGTAAGAGAGGGCCTGGAGGAAGACTCATTTCTAGGTTCTAAAGGTGACTGTGAGCTGGCTCACAGGATGTTTGCCTATCCACTTGCAAACGCCTTTCTGCTTCCAGACTTCTTTCCTGTGCCAGAGATGTTAGAGATTCAGAACAGTTTACGAAATTGCATTCAGTTCATTTGCCTAGCAACGGATGTTTCACTGTCTGGTATTACGTTGTTAGGTGTATTTGTAAGCTGTCAAATTTCTTAGCTGTGCAAAATTCTCTGTAATAATTTTTCTCTGTTTTAAGGCTCAGCTTTCTGTAGTTCATTGTGTTAAATGCTAGTATATAAAAAGTATCTGGTAAAGCCAAGCAGATATCTTCTCTTTAGTCTTTTGAAAAGGACGTGTGCCTTGAGTGAATCAGTCCTGACAGTGATTTTTGCAGAAATACAGGTTGTACCTCTGTTTCTATAGGTTATTGTTCTGTGGTTTCTTATTTTTTTCCTTTGTGTGTGCGAATGATTTATACCAGGACTCCAGTGAATCATTGCTGGAATGCTGCTTTAAACATAGGGCTATTTTGGCCTTCTAAAATATTTGAATGCTTGGTAATTTTTAGTAATGTTTGAGTGTTTTCCCCCTGATAAATTGATGGTTTGACTCATGCCATGTTTTTTAGCAGGGAAAATAAGATAGCCAGTTATAATCTTTATCTTTACTATTATGTGGTCAGGTGTGAAATGCCTAAAAAATTGATGTTTGCATAGTGCGTTAGTATTATAGTCCCCTGCAAGAGGACCTGGATCTTTTAAAACATGTTCTTTCTCTGAGATACTCAAGACATGTTGGCAGGACAATATGGAGGAAGCTTCTTTTGCTGCTGCCTGTACTTTACCTGTTCTACAAATGAAGGATAGGATAGCATTCTAAGGAATTGAAACAGATGTCACACTTTACAATCATTAATTATGTAAAAGGTGGGGAGATCACTGAAGCTGGAAAAAACCACTTCTACCTTGAAATCACATTTTTAGAATTCTGGGAATAGACCTCTCCCATTTTCTATTCATTACTAATCAGTGGGAAGCACTGATTGCTTTTGGGCACAGACAGCTGGAATGGAGTTGCTTGCAAACTGTGGTTGCTCATAAAACTGTCCTGTTCTCTCTACAACTGAGATGTTCTGTATTACTCAGAGTCTCTCCTAGGGAGACTCGATATGGATATTGCATTTTGCAGAGTGTCTGAAATTTGAGAGTTTTGCTGAGAGGGCAGTATGGCTAACATACAATGAACCACTCCTTGCTGAGGTCATGCCAGACTGCAGACTTTAATTTAAAGGGAGCAGAGTTGCAGTAAATATTAGTGACTCAAAAGATAGTTCTTGATATTTTTTAGTATTTTTAAATTCTTATTTTACACAGGGTAAGGCAATAAAACTTCATTGAATATTTAAGGTTGAGAAAGACATTTAAGATTGAGTCAAACCATTAACCTACACTGCCTTGCTCACCAATAAACCATCTCTCCAAGTGCCACATCCACACATCTTTGGAACATTTCCGGCGATAGTGATTCCACCACTTTCCTGGGCAGCCTGTTCCAATGCCTGACCACCCTTTCAGTGAAGAAATTTCTCCTAATACTTAAGCTAAACCTCTCCTGGTGCAACTTGAGGCCATTTCTCGTGTCCCATGACTTGTTATTTGGGTGAGGAGGCTGACCCCACCTGGCTAGACGCTCCTTTCAGGAAGTTGTAGACAGTGATAAGGACTCCCTAAGCTCCCTTTTCTGCAGGTTAAACAACCCCAGCTCTCTCAGCTGTGCTTCATATGAGTGACGTTCCCCTTCCCTAGCTCCGTTGCCCTTCTCTGAACATGCTCCAGCTCCTCAGTGTCTTTCTTGTAGTAATGGCCCCAGAACTGAACACAGGATTCAAGGTGTGCCCTCGCTGGCACTGAGTACAGGAGAACAATCACTTTCCTTCCTGGATGCTGTTGGCTTTCTTGGCTACCTGGATGCACTGCTGGCTCATGTTCAACTGCCTGTTGACCAGCATCCCCAGGTCCTTTTCCATCAAGCAGCTTTCCAGCCACTCATCTCCATTGATGGGGATGAGTAGTATTGCATGGGGTTGTTGTGTGCGAAGTGCAGAACCCACCACTTCACCTTATTGTACCTTTTACAGTTGGTCTCGATTCGTCATCAATGCAGCCTGTCCAGATCCCTCTGCAGAGCTTCCTGCCCTCCAGCAGATCAACACTTCCACCCAACTCAGTGTCACTGCAAACTGGCCGATGGTGTTCTCAATGCCCTCATCCAGACCATTGATAAAGAGATTAAATAGGGCCAACCCAAATACTGAAGCATGGGAGAACTGGGATAAGTGGAGAGCTAAACTTAGGATAGAGAAGTCCAGTTCAAGTATTCTCCATAATGCCATTCTGGTAGCAGAAGTGCTGCTGTTACTGCTGCTTATGGGACTTTGTGATCCAGGGAACTTTTATCTTCATAAGTTTTATCACTTTCCATGTATTTTTTGTAGAAGATAATTCCAAGTTTATTCGAGAATAGCATTGTGAGAATTGCAGTGACCTATAATTAACATCAAGTAAAGGCAGTCATGAAAAGATAATACAATGATTATTAACACTTCTCTATCTTTGAACAAAAAGAATATGCACAGCAGCAGAAGAGTTTTGTAGTGAATTGCTGAGACTGGATGAAGCTTTATGTTGAACTAGTTCTGTGGCAGTTCAGTTGTGATCTTACAGTGTATTCTCAAGGATATACTGTGAAGTTTTAATTGTCTTTAAACTTGGCATTGTTTAGTCACAGGCTTACTATGGCACGGTGATGGTCACCCTGCTTTTCGTTCAGGTTACTAATTTTACAGAAGGTGATAGTGAATGTAACTTAAAATCCTTTGGCAGTTACATCTTAAAATCTTGAAAACTGAACAGGGGTGAGCCTGGCAGCAGCCTTTTTAAAATTCACTGCAATATTGTATTAATGTCTTAACATGGTATTACAGAATGGTATTGAGACACCAGACATGCTGTCTTACAGTTGCAAGGAACTCTTTTGCAATTTGCTGAGCAAATAAACCTTGTCATCTTATCATTCTCAAAAAGAGGTGCCACTGACTTCCCAGTAGAAAAAGGCAACAGAAAAGTGACTCAGTCATAATACAACAAAGTAAGTAACAACCTTCTGATTAGTTAATCTAAATAGATTACAGGTAAGAAGTCTTTAGGTTCCTGAGTTGTTATGTTGGTGATTGAAATATAGTTTTAGTGCTAGTGCTTTCAAATCATTCCATTTGCTCTTTCCTTAGGGCAATAGCAGACAATACTGCTCTAGTAGGAACATTCTCTAAGTCTGCATGTTTTGAATTGCTTTCAAATGCACACCACTGTCTAGCTAAAATGAAGTGCAGCAATCTTCTGAACAGGTCTTTGAGGTCTGCTTGTACTTTGTGGGGAAAAGAGAAGGAGCAAAAAATAAAAGGAAGGATGAAAATTTTATAACCTTAAGGCAAATGTAGGAGGCCTTGAAATTATTCTGGTAGCTATTTATCTTCCTGTTCACACTGAGCTACACTTTGATAGTAACAGCAAACCTTCAGTTTGTTCTTTGCAAGGGAAGATTGCTCTGAGAAGTCAAAAAGGAGCAAACTAAGTTGAGTTTGTGTTTTCCCAGCTCTGTGGAAGTTTCACCTTCCTCAGTAGTTCTCTATCCATATTATAAGAGCTTTGAGATTGAGTTTCAGAGGTTTGCAGTTTCACACTGTTAACATGGTTATTTTCACTCACCAGCTTTCCCCTAATATGCATCTCTGTTTATAGTATGTATCCTAGGTAGTCATGTTGCACACCTGGGTAATTCAGATCCAACATACATTATTTGGTGTGTTGTGCTACACAGCTGGCTTATACAGCTGTGGGCAGAGTAAATCAGAACAGATGCACACACTGAATGGCATGTGTGTTATAAAACCCTGGGTTGTCTGTCTTGACAAATAGGGCTCAGTGCTGTGCTGTCGATTCGAGATCGCAGCAGGGTACTGCATGTGCCAGGATGGTTAATGAGAATGGACTTGCAATGCAGTTGAGCACTGCACAGGATACTTTTAGTGTAATGTCTATACCATAGTCATCAGCCAACTGATCATGTGCTGGATCGAGTTTAGGTTCTGTGGCCTTGCTATTGCTGCCGTATTGTTGACAAGTACGGCAACTCAGCTGGGTAGAGAGCAGAGGAAAAACTCATACCAAGGCAAAAAATTACCCCCATGTAATAAACTTTTGAAATCCTGGAATGGAGGCTGTCTTAGAAATGCAGAGTAATTCTGGTGGGAAATAAGAATCATGAGAGGTGACTTCCATATGGTTGTATTTCCCTTTCTCTTTAAGGGAATGATGGCAGTGAATTATGTGGCTTACCAAAAAACAATACAAGTTAGTAACGGAGTTGGAAGAGATCTTTGAGTTTTCTGTTCCGTCAATAACAAATTGATGGTTTTGTGTGTCCAGTTGAGATCATTTAGACTATCTGCAGATCTTTTTATTCCTTCCATGTAATTTCTGCCTATCTTCAGTGTGTGTGGCTTTTCACCAACACTGTGATATTTCATGTTGGAGTTTGTGGAGAAAGGCACAAAAATTTTCCATTTCAAACTATGTTGATAAATGAATAATAAAACTTTGAATATTGATGTATCAGAAAGTTGTTGACATGTCTGATGTCATGAAATTAGTGCAGGATGATGATAATGAAAACCTATGAATAGAGATCACTAATAAGTTCAGGAGCCTGGTAACATACATTTAGACACAGGCCAAAGTAGGGATTTGGGTTTGGGTTCTTGTCATGGGCTTTTTTTGTTTATAAGTAAAAGAAACAATGACATGGTTTATAAATTTAGTTACCTTTTTCCCCATAGTCTAGAACTTGTGCTTTTAACTGTACTTCAATACTGTGTTTTCTTTATAAGAAAAATATTGGGGTTTATGACACAGGGACATGGCTTTGCTGTTACAGTGGCTTTAGCTTATTATTTTATTTGTCCTAGTGAGTGATGTTTGAATTTCATTGTTCATTTGTGTTTCACATGAAAACATTTTTGGAGGTGTTTTCTCCTGCCCTTGCTGAGCAATTTATTTTTTACCTGCCATGGTAAGTTTGATTTCAAAAAGGAATCAAGATTTAAAAAGATTATGCCTTGATTTAAAAAGAAAATTTTTCATCTGATTTTTGTAGTGGTGCCTTCTATTATTCTGCATTCATAGCTTGCTAGCTACCAGCAGGGGCCTTTTGACTGCCACAGTGTAACACATGAGGAACAGGCCTTTTTTTCTTATTTCCTTTTTTTTTTTCTTTTAATGTGAGTTAAAGATGTCAGAAAATTTCTTGCTGTGGGAGGATTTCAGATCTATATAGTTGAGATGGATACAAGCATACCCTAAGTAAATCAATAGAGAATATATAAGGGAGGGGAGAATGGAAACTGATTGTGAGCAGGTACATTTTCTCACATCCTTCTACCATTTTCAGTCTGAAAGCTCTGGTGGAGGGATGCAAGCAGTGGTCATCCAGTGCACCAAATCTTGGGAAGATCCAGAGAACTGCACCTGCTTTTCCAGGATTCACCAGCTTAGCAGAGATGGGTAAAAGAATGCCCTGAACTTAGTACTCTCATCCCCACTTCCATTCACATTTCAATGAACCTCTTTCCTGACCTTCAGCTGCTACCTTACAGCAATGTTTTAATTTTGTTTGGTATCTGTTTTTCTTTTTTCTCTATTCTTTGTCAAGTATCCACTTTCTCCTTATGGATTTTCTTCTTTTTCACCTCACTGCTTGTGCTTCTCCCTCTGTCAAGCTAACAAGTTTCCGTTAATTCTCCTCTAGCTCCATGCTGTCTCTCAGCTCCTTTCCTGAATAATGATATTTACATGTGCTGCATGCTTACACCTTCACTTGAAAGGAGAAATCCTTAAAATTTTTCTGTCTTTTGCTTCTCACTCACAAACACATAAATTTACTCTAGAAGTTGCTGAGTTGTAGGTTGTCTTTGAAACGCTGTTCTGCAATTAATCCCAAGTGGATGAATGCTTCACTGATTTCTTTCACTTTCATAGTGTTTCCAGTTACTTCTCTCAGCCTGTCTTCTTTGGAAACAATAGGCTGTATTTGGGAGTTGATAAATGATGTTTGTGAGGGGAACAGTTGCATCTTCTGAGGAGAATCTTACTTTGAAGTGTAATTGTGAGACAATGAAATTTGCCAGTGAAAATGTTACATTGACACAAAGTCTATTTTCATTTGCTTTCCAGATGATGAGGACAGTGAATGTTTTAATGGAGAGGGCAAAGTGCACCCTTCACCTGTGCACAATCAGTCATACCTCTGCATCCCCTTTCAGAAGAATGAAGAATGGGACGGCCCTTCTAGTGATGCCAATGAGGAGTCCACCCCTGTAAACTCTGCTACCAGTACCCCACAGCTGACACCCACCAACAGCCTCAAACGTAGCGGCTCCCACCACAAGCGATGTGAGATTGCATTGCTTGGCTGTGGAGCAGTGCTGGCTGCTGCAGGCCTGGGTTTTGATCTCCTAGAAGCAGGGAAGTGTCAGCTGCTGATTGAGGAAGAGCCAGAGGTGCCCAAGGAAGAGAAGAAGAAGCGTGACAGCATTTTTCAGCGAGCTGGACGTCCACGCAGGAGCACTAGTCCACCTTCCCGGAAGATCTTCAGGAAGGATGATCCCCTGTTGTTGCTAGGCGAGCCATCCACATCCCTCACCCTTCTTTCCCTGTCTTCCATTTCCGAATGTAATTCCACCCGGTCCCTGCTGCGCTCAGACAGTGATGAGATTGTGGTTTATGAGATGCCTGTCAGCCCAGTGACAGTCAAGGCTCCCTTGCCAGCCATTACAAACCCACTGGTCAATGTCCAGATCGAGAGGTTCAAACAAGACCCCAACCAGTCCCTGACTCCCACACATGTGACGGTCTCTTCCCACACCCAGCAAAGTGGACACAGGCGCACGCCTTCTGATGGAGCCATCAAAGGGGGTGGATTGGTCGTCAATGGGTGCCCAACCAGTGGATGCCCTTCCAGTAGCTGTTTAACTGGAGCACTGGGAACAGGTAGGTTTTCAGCCATCTTCCTTTTCCTCTTCAGAGTAAAGACAGAAGCAATATAATTATACATTTGTTGAGATGACCAGCCCACAAGAATTGCTTGTGGAGCCTATCTTTACACAAGTAGCTGACAGAATAATGCAGTAATGGTTTTGGTTCCAGCATCTTCAGATTGCCATAATCTTGAAGATACAGTGTTTGTACATTCTGAATGAAGGCTTTCTGCTTTGAGTATGTTTTTGCACTGTATATACAATAAACTAAGATCTGTAGGAACCACTTAGCAATGACAGCTAACATGTTTTTCCCTCTTCTCTTACATTGTCTGTTTTGGATAGGTGTATTAAAAACACCTAGTCCAAGCAGAGATCCCAGTGAGGTCCCTCGTTTGCCAGACCCCAACCTTGTTTTTCCTCCAACCCCAAGACGATGGAATGCACAGCAGGATCCCACACTGGAAAGACCCAAGACCCTGGAGTTCCTACCCCGGCCACGTCCTGCAGCCAGTCGGCAGCGGCTTGATCCCTGGTGGTTTGTGTCACCCAGCAATGCCAAGGGTGAATCTTCTGCCAACAGTTCAAGTACTGATACTCCAAGCAATCTTGACTCTTGTTTTGCTAGTAGCAGCAGCACTGTAGAAGAGAGACCTGGACTGCCTGCACTGCTTCCTTTCCAGGTGGGTCCTCCTGCAGAGGAGCGGACACTGTTGGACATGGATGCTGAGGGGCAGAGCCAGGACAGCACCATTCCGCTATGCAGAAGTGAACTTAACACACACAAAGCTGCAGCATATGAACTCAAGCAAGAATTCTGGTCTTAATATGAAACCACTGGGGACAGTGAGCCCCTCTAAATTCAATCCTACTTTTTGCACTGAGAATGCACTTTGAAAACAGATAATGTGGAGGGATGCTACAGAGATCATATGGTGCTGCCTCTGCTGAAGATGTGTTGTCAGCTGCCTGATTTTTGTCTGCATTTGGGTGAAACTTGGCAACTCTGAGCTGCTGACTTTTGCTGTGGGGTTTTCCTGTAGTCTTCCCTACCCTCTTATTGCAGTTTGAATCTGCAATGAGCTGAAATTATCATATCAAAGTCTTTTGTTACTGACCTTGTAGGATTTGGCACTTGGCAGTAAGTATATCGGTATCCTGGTATTAATCAGTATTTTCAAATAATATTCAAATATTACACTACAGCAGACATCACTGTTTGATGTTTTCCCAAGGAATCCAGAATGGAAACAAATAAATATCTGGAGACTACCTTCTCTGAAATACATTCAGATCATTAGACAGGCCTGGGAATCATCATACCCCCACTGAAATAGCAGAAGTAGCTATCTTAAGACTTGTTTGTCCTCTTTTGCTCATGTGATAGTGTAAGGTGGAACAGATGGTAGGGGAAGGGCATGGCGTCTCCACTGGTGGAGGTCTTTGAGAGCAGGTGAACCAGACTGTTGGAAACAAGTAGGTGTAGTTGATCCTGGCTTCAGGGTAGGTTGGATGAACTTCAATGATCTCCTGAGGTCCCTCTCAGCCCTATTTATTTTATGACCCTGTGCTTTCAAGATGAAGGCTTACAGTATAGCTGTTTAGCTTGGTTTGGGTTTTTTTTTTCAGACTTTCATTCAGTCTCTTTTCTTCCCACCCTGTTTCTCAGGCTCATAGTCAAGTTGCCTCAGCTTTGGGAGGGGTGTTAGCAGAAACTTTCTTTAAAGATGTGTTGGCTTGCAGAAGGAAGTAAGTTATGTGTTTCCAAATCTTTTTCTTTCTATTTTTTTCTCCTTTCTTATGCCTTTCAGGAGTGACCCATGAAAACCAAGATTGTTCTTATGCACACTGGTACTTGTTTAAGGCTGTTTTGAAAATGAGGCTTATTAGTAGTTGGATTGTGCAAACAGGAATCAGAACATCTGGATTCTGTTTTATTTTGTCACTGACTCACTGTGTGACCCTGGGCAAATAATGTAACCTCTGTGCCTGAATTTCCCCATCTGTAAATAATAGGAATAATACCTACCTCACAAGGGGAGGGGTTGGGACGTATATAATAGGTATAAAGTCCTTCGAGATCTTTGAGTGAAAGGCACTATAGATATGTAGAACTTTATTCTTGTTCAAATATGTAAACCACTCCTAGATCTGGAGCAAGAACAGACCCCTGTCTGGAAGGAGGAAGTCACACAAATAGGGTGTGCCTATGCTCAGAGTTTTCTGTACAAAGACTTCAAGTGTGTCTGTGCCACTGCAGATATGTGTTACTGGCTGTAATGAGAGCTTCAATCTTCCCCAAATTTGGCATTATATATAAGGGATGTGGCCTTTATGTGAGTGTAATAGGGTAGTCTGCTTTATTGCAGGGTACAGCATGTCTGTTCACTGGTTTTGTACAGATCTGTGCTCCTTTTGCTAATCCGCTGATATTTGGTTGCAAATAAGTCATTTGACAGTGCTGCCAATGCAGTGCTCAGCCTGTTGGGGCAGTCCAGTCCTGCTGGGAAGGCAGTAGAGCCGAATAGTTCCTGCAGCTGTCAGCACAGTGAACTTGTGTGTTTAGATGTTTGTAACCTGATTTAAAAAACCAGCATGTTTGAGGAAGAACTGTATGTAAGGCTTTTTAGTTCTGTGTGAGGACTGAAACCAGCATGTTCCCATTAGTCAAGTGCACCTTCTTTTTCAAGGAATTACAGTATGTTTTGTTTTGAAAGGTCACATATTTTTTATTTATCACATTCCATGGAAAATGTTTAATGGCAGAATTACTTTATGCTGTCTATTAAATGCTCCAGAGCTAGCCTTAATGGTGCTACACTAGATGTTGAAGCTAGGAAGATGTTGACTGTTTAGACAAGGTATTATGATAAGGCAAGATGGGATTCAGATACTTAAAGAAAACATTTCTGACTATTTTGTTAAATTTAGACTTCTGGCATTGATTTCTTAAGCATCCTTTTGCTTTCCATTTCTGAAAACTCAGTTTGTGACCCAGACATTAGCAAAAAGGCAAAACTCATGCAACAGATTGTTAATTTTGATTGTGCTATAAATCAACCTTAATGTAATCTGAGTAAAAGGCTGTGTCAGAGGGATTTGAAAGGACATGAAAATAATTTATTTTTCATGGTCTTCCTTATAATTTTTAAAAGTCTGGAACAAAACTGGATCAGCTGTTCTGAAATGTTATTCTATCCAAAAGGTATCATTATAAGTGTCATAGTGATAGTACAGGGATAAAATGTTTCTAAATCATGGAATATTCGGGGGAGTTAGAAAGGAAGGATAGGCCTGATAGGCCCTGGGAAAATGTTAAGGTAGGCCCTGGGAAAATGTTAGGCTGCACCTGTATTATCATTTAATGACTATGATAAATGATATGATTGTTAGATGCGATGATTGTTTGGTAATTGGATATAATTATTGTCTAATCATAACAAAAATCATGAGAAACGATGTTGGGGGGGGTTGATGGAAATTACAAAAATCCATGCTTGGATGAAATCAATATATACAACAGAACAATATAAGTTTAATAATTATTAAGTAGTCATGTAACGATAAGGGTATAAAAACACGTTCATCCCAAACCCATGTCGGAGTCAGATTTGGGTCTGTGCCCCTGGCACCCAGAGCTCTTCAATAAAAGCCACCTGCATAATCATTCCATGATTATGGGTTCCTGAATGCTAACCACAGGGAGAATCATCTGCTCTGCAAAGGCATCACCTGGAACAGCTCCATTTGAACAGAAATCTTTCAAATCCATTTACTTGTATGAAATGGGAAGACACCTTTCTAGGTGACACTATATAACTGGTATAACTCAGCCTGCTGAACTTTGTAATATCTGGCCAGTTGATTTCACCAAGTGAACTTTTAAGGTTTATGTCAAGTTCCCAGGAAAGACAAACATAAAGGCAAGTTGTTCAGTCATCTCTTTTACTTAGGAAAGTTGAGGATGAAGAATCAACCACCCCTTGCCCCTTTCCCCCTTTTATATAATCATTTGGTGAAGGTGCTATATAGCTGAACATTGAGAAGTACTTTGCTCCAAAGGATATCTTCCCTAATGCTAAGTGGACATTGCTACATCAAAAAACTTGGTAGGACAGATGAAAGAGTCAAGGATCCAGGTCAAGGTTACCAAACTAGATACTGTTATTACAAAGCTGCCAGACAGACTAGTTAGAAGCATACTGGTTGGTATGTGTTTGTTTTGTGGTTTTTATTTGGGGTTTTTTTTTTTTTACCTCTCTTTGATGCAATTATCGTCATTGAATCTAGCATGTGAATTAACCTGAGGAAGTCTTTGAGCATCCACCCATAACTGTCTTCCAATGGCCAACCTGAGGTATCAGGCAAGAGGAGTCAGTTGTGGAAACAAGGCTCCTGACTTCAGTAGGTGGTGGGGTATTCTCTGGCAGGCAGAGATGGGGCTCTCAAGAGTTGTCAGGTATCTTACCTTATGCACTCCAAAAGCTTTTGCAGCCAATATCCTAAGGTCCAGAGGCTGTGTGCATGTTTAAGCTAGGTCAAAACCTCTCTATATCCATCTGTCCCATCCTGGCTTGAATTGTCTGCTTTCTTAATCTGTTGGGGTTTTTCCTTCCCATCTGTGGGAGCTGAGGTGCTCCAAATCTCCAAAGAAGTGGTTGACTCTGTTCCACTAGACAGTGAGAAGCTGTGAGCCCATCAGCTCAGAAATCTTTTTTTTCCTACTGGTTGATAGTATTTCCAGTTGTCAGGGAAACAAAAATGTCAGAATATTGGTCATTGACCTACCTTTATAGTAGTATTCTTGAGGAAGATGGTGAAAATCTTACTTTAAAAAATTTCTAATAATTGTGTTGTTTCCTGAATGTCTGAATAAGCTGCACTTTTGTTTTGTCTGAGAAAATGAGGAAAAAGAAAACATGAACGTCACTGAGCAGTCTAAAACAATGACAAAAGAATGGAGAAAAATATGTTTGAATACAAGCCTTACAAAGAGGAAGTGGCCGTTTTTTGACTGATAGTAATAATGAGATTGTAGCTGAGAGAAATGATTGTGGTTTAGAAATATGTTTGTATTTTTGTTTATTCAGCTGGCAGTGCGTATCACTAGTTTATGTAATTGATGTGCTGATTTAGGAAATAGAAAGAAGTTTGTCAGCCCTTCAAAGTATGCTATCCTTGCAGCCTGTTCAGTTTTCCTGTAATTGGAATATAATAGAGATACTGGGGGAAGGCACAGACATAGCAACCAGTGCAAAAAAAGGACAAATTTTTGGACAAATTTCTTCTGGTTTCATATAAATTGAGTGTGGGACAAGTAGAGAGAAGAAAGCTTTTGTGTCAAAACTAAGGTGATTAAGTAGTTACAAATTCTTTTCTAATACTGTTGCTTCTTACAGACTGTTTTACCAGCAAGTAGGTCTTAATATCCTCTCAGTCATTTTCAGAGGTGCAAATGTAACTTTTTATACATACTTTCCCTCCACTTTATTATTGCAATGGGTTGATATTCAGTATGGGGCAGGGAACCTTGGTGAAAATACTCTTTTTGTAGTAGTTTTCTAACAAAATGAGTATTTTTAAAGTGAATTTTTTGTTATTGATGGAGAAAGACCTGTTCTGGTGTGGCATGGTTTTATGATGACATATTTTTCTGTACCTCTAGGAATGGGAGTAGTTGCCTTCCTCTTCATAGCATGCTGTTATCTTAAGACATTGTGGACAATACTGCATAGAGATGTAACTTCGATATGTCACAAAACTGGATACCTCTCATTCTGTTGAAGGTGAGGCAGTAATGGTCAAGTAAAGAAAGGTCTTTGCCTTTAGAGTGTTTTGTTCAATAGAACATGTAGGAAACCTCTGACCTTAATTTTTATTTGAAACCTAATTCATCTCTGTGGGATGAATATGGGACCTGGAGTCTCATTGGATGTATGGAATCAAACCTGTTCCTACGTCCCAAAATTCAGTGATAGTCTGTTTTTTTTGCAAGTAATTTTAAGCTAATGTAAATAGGTTTGTTTCTCTTTGGTTTTTTAAAATATTTCTCCTTGGAAAATATGCTTCTTGCTTTCTAACCTTTTCCATGCATTTTGGAGATACTCTCGAGAACCCTTACCAACTCTGGTGAATAAGAAGGGTTATATCTTGCAGTGTGATTTAAGTTCTCCTTTTGGCTTCTTTTTTTTTTTTAATGAAAAAGGACATTTACATTTGGAAAGATTTCTGATCCTTACCCTGTCACTGAAGAACAGTTTCTTAGCTTCCATGTTTAGAACTCCTTTAAGACTACAATTTGGGTAAAACTGGACATTAAAAGTGAGGGGATAGACATGTGTTAAAACATAGTTGCAAGCAAGCAATAAATACAGCAAATACAAGAACCAAAATATACTGTCACAGAACATAACTCAGATTTCATGAATCTTTGGTTGATGGTATAATTAAGATATCTATAGGAAAAAATGCCTTCTTACGTTTTTTCTTAAGTTTACTATCTTTGTACTAGAATACAGTGGTTTGCACAGCCAGCTAATGTGGTAACTAGCTGGACAGAAAGGATCTTTAACCAAATTTGCTTTTTTTCCCTCTTATTTTCAATCCAGGTTTTGGTTTAAATTTTATTTTTTTGTCTTTTTTTTTTGGTGTTTAACAACCAATACAGTCTTGAGAAGAACT